GGGAGGCCCGGCGGCAGAAGGAGCCCCCGGGGGCGCCACCTCCATCCTGTGTAAGTAAGTCTTAGGCCGGCCGAGCTCTTTGGCGGGTGCTCGGTGAGGGAGAAGCTGCTTCTCGGGGTTTCCACGCCATGGGAACTGAGTTGTGGTTTTAGCAGGTTGAACGAACAGGCTAGTTAAGTATTACATTGTATTGTATCATATCATATCGTATCATACCATATATCATATATCATATCATATCATATCATATTTTCTTAACTTAGGGTTAAACATGTTATAGGAATCCAGCTCATGATTCTGTGTTTTCTGCCTGACCTATGGGGGGCTGGTGCAGGAGAGAAATGTTCTGGGAGGGACAGGATCACAAAGCACGTGGAGGTTGGGTAAGCTGTAGTAGATTTTCACTTGGTCTGTGTTAGATTTGAGGATGTGGCTGTCATCTTCAGTTAGGGCAGTGTTTCTCAACCTTGGCAGCTTGAAGATGTGTGGACCCTAACCCTCACCCCAGAATTCTGGGGGTTGAAGTCCACACTTCTTCGGGCTGCCAAGTTTGAGATAATGCTGAATTAGGGTGAGAAACCCTTTGATTGCTGGAGTCACCCCTGTTTTAAGGCTGCCACGGAGGGTAGGATTTTCTATTGTTTTTTTATATCCCTTGAGTTTAGGATGCTCATTTTCAAGAAAATCATTAAGCCTATTTGATACTTTCCATTACAGTCTTTGGTGTGCTTCCTGACTCACTAGGGTTTTCCCAGTATTCAGCTGCACGTTTGGTGGGAGCTCTGGAAAAAAGGAAATTCAAAGACCGACTCTTACCCTCCCCTACCTGAGAAACTCTGGTAGACAGCAGCAGAGTTTGTGGTTGAGAAGGGCTCAGGGGTTCCACGTAGAAGCAGAGATTTATAAAGAAATATTTGAATTTCAGTTGAAGGAAAAGAAATTATTCTGCAAGGAAAACAGTCCCACTAACTGAGGGCTGCAGCTGAGGACTGTTCTCTTGCAGACACTGCTGTCTGGCTCATTCTACTGCACCCCAAGTTCTGCTGCTCCACAGCCAGCATGTAGGGAACAGGCTGCCTGCTTCTCCTTACGCTCTGCTCGAGATCAGGCCTGGGCAGCCACCACCAAGCACGCTTTCTTCCTTGTCGCTTGTTGTCTGAGCTGTTCCTTCTTTCCTTTCTGCCCTTCCCCAGCTGGCTTTGGTGGCATTGCTGGGCTCGGTCACTTGGGGATGGGCTCAGCAAACTTCATGGAGCTTCAGCAGCAGATGCAGCGGCAGCTGATGTCCAATCCGGAGATGCTCTCCCAGATCATGGAGAACCCGCTGGTCCAGAGCATGATGTCCAACCCGGACTTCATGAGGCAGATGATCATGGCCAATCCCCAGATGCAACAACTGATGGAACGGAACCCAGAAATCACTCACATGCTGAATAACCCAGAGCTTATGCGCCAGGTGGGCAGCATCTCCATTTTCCTGTGACTTGTGGCGTTGGCTGCGTTTGCATGTAAGTCCAAGACAGGTGTGAGGAGCGTGGCCTTTGAGTGTCATTCAGCCACAACTGTTAGCAGTTCCCAGCCAACATGGGAAGCTGGGAGACGTAGTTCAGCAGCTTCTTTGCACTGTTTCATGTTAATTGGATTCCCTGCTTTCTCCTGACGTCTGAAGCCTCTTTGGCATCCTGCAGAGAGAAAGGAGGGAACCTTCTCAGTAGGGCTCAGGATGCTTTGAGCTAATGAGCACCAGTTCCTACCTTGAGAAACACTTTCAGGCATTCTGACTTAGACCTTGCCAGAAGGGCAGATCTCAGTCCTGCAGGAACACTGAGGATTCCTCAGGCAGTCTGCAGAGGGCTGCTGGACTGCTTCTTGGAAGAGAGAGATGAGGCATTTATGCGCCAGTCACTTCCCCAACTTCCAGAACTGCAGTAGTGAATTCAGCCAAAGACAGACTGGTCCACTGCTTGCCCTGGTGGGCTGGATAACTTCGTGGAGCAAAGTTTTGCAGAGGGAAGTCCCACCCAGTATGCTGTATTCTCTCAGTATGGCAGGGGTGAGAGACATGCTCTTGTTTTTTTTTTTCCCCCTGTGCAGAGAGTTTTCTCTGTGCCCCGCTGAACTGTGGATCTAGTCCCTCCGGCCGCTCCAGAGGGGAGGCTTCCAGCCGTCACTGCAGACTTGCCCCGTACTGGCTCGGGAGGCCTGCTGGTGGTCGGTTCCTCTTGTCCGTGCAGCGAACGGGCTAGCAGCCCACAGGGAGTCAGGTGGCTCTTAGGACACAGGCCCTGCCGAGAAGCCGTTCCCTCTCCTGGGAGTCCTTGAACTCTCCCAGGCGACAGCAGACTTATTGTGCAGACAGTGGGAGAAGTTTGTTTTCTACCGTTCATTCTTCCTGCCTCCATTTCCTAGCAGGGCAGAAATAGGGATGAAGGACACCCCACAGTGCTGAGAAGATGTAAAAGCAGAGCTCATTTAATCAGCTATTTGCCAAGCTACGATGTGTATTAATCAATCATGGTTTAAAACCCTGACCATCCGCTTCTCTGCTTCCGCCATATTTCCAGAAGCAGAGCAACAGGTATGATAGCTTTTCCAAGTCAGATTTTGCACCATATCCTGGGAGGCACGTGCGCTTGGAACCCTGGTTTCTGACTCTGGTCTGGTCTTCTTGCACTATTGTAGACACGGGTTCTGCCTGTTTGGCTCGTTTCTCGGTTGCTCTGCCACCGGCTCCAGCAGCCTCTCAGAGAAGCTTGTTTAGGTAAATGATGGTCAGCCCTTGCTTCTCGCAGACTTTTAGGAAGGCAGAGAAGGCTCTGCTTGGCGAGCCTCTTGCTGGCTGCCTGTTGTGCCTCATGCTGCAAAAGAGGCGATGCCAAGCAGTCGGGTTGGTTCTCTCTTCCCAGACAATGGAGTTGGCGCGCAACCCAGCTATGATGCAGGAGATGATGCGCAACCAGGACCGAGCCCTGAGCAACTTGGAGAGTGTTCCCGGAGGGTACAATGCCTTGCGACGCATGTACACAGATATCCAGGAACCGATGTTCAGCGCTGCCAGGGAGCAGGTGCGCCTGGCTCTGCTTTGTGGAGTGTGATTTTCAGCTGCTAATTAGAACAGCGAAATTTAATCATGACCAGCAGGGATTCATGATGTGGTGTGCAAGTTTTAAAGTTGCACACAGTTGCTCCTTGGGGAGGATCACACATTTGGGTATCCTCAAGAGCCCAGATACCTGGAAACCTTGTGGCCTTTCTTAGAGCTCTTATTGGCTCAATTCCTTCAGATATGGGTCATATTAATCACCCAGTTTGGCATATCTAAATCTAGAATGGCATTCATAATTCCACATGTACAAGGAGCCAAGGTTTTGAACTGCTTTTCTGCTTCTATCTGTGGTGGTTCTTTTGATGCAGGAGAGGACCAATGTCAGTTTAACCATTATACCTGATGTTAGTTGATCTGCAAATCAGCTCGAACAATCGATTTTGATTCTGCTTTATAGGCTAATTGCAAACAGTAATTAATCAGTGATTAACCCCACAGATAGATTCCTTCAGGGTGGTACAGGTAGTCCTCGACTTATGTCCATTCATTCAGCGACCATTCAAAGTTACGATGGTACTGAAAAGGAGACTTACAACTGGTTCTCGAAGTTGTGGCCATCTTAGCAGCCCCGCGGTCACATGATCGCGATCTGGGTGCTTGGTAACTCATTTACACTTATGACTGGTTACCAAGCTCCCTGCGATCACATGATCACCACTTGCAACCTTCTGTGCCAGCTTCCCAGAAAGTCAAAGGGAAGCCGACAGGGAAGATTGTATGTTGCTGGGCTAAGTCCTCCCACCCAGCACTCTACCCCAGCCCCTCTGCACTCGTGCCACGCTGGCCACTTGTGCACCCCCCCATCTGTGCCGCAACCCCACGCACCCTTCTCGACCTGCATGGTGCCTCTCCCACACCCCCTCATTCCCTCCCACTCAGCAGCAGCCACTTACCTACCTGCCAGCCTGGGACTTGCAACTTCCTGCTGGCTTCCCCACTGACTTTGATTGTGGGAAGCCGGCAGGAAGTGCCTCGCCTAACAATCGTGGGATTCAATTAGCAACGGGAACTGCAGCGATTGCTGTCACTCAGCGATGTGGTTGTGCTTTATGACCGCATCACTTAGTGACAGAAATTCCAGTCCCAATTGTCCTAAGTTGAGGACTACCTGTACTCTCTTTTCTATAAACAGGAGCACTTCAGATCAAGGGTTTACCTCTCATTCTCCTACCAACTGTGCGATAAGGCAGCACTAAGTGGGGATGTATGAATCTTTTGCCAATGCCTTTTCTTCCTAGTTTGGCAACAATCCCTTCTCTGCTCTGGCCGGGAGTTCGGACACCCCAAACTCGCAACCTCTGCGGACGGAAAACCGAGAGCCGTTGCCCAACCCTTGGAATCCTGTGCCTGCTTCTCAGAACCAGGTGCCGGGGAACGAAGGAAGCCCTGAGCCAGTCCCAAGCCAGAGCAGGCCCACCGTCTCCAACCCTTTGGGGATCAACGCAGCCACCCTGGGGACAGGTATGGCCTTCACAGCATAACTGGGACGAGCTTTGGCAGCAGCAAGTTGTCATTGGCATTTCCGGTTCCTGGCGATTATTTTTCATTCGGAGAAGTACAGTTCTGGAATGTCATGCCTTGCCTTGCACTGAAGGTTTTTGTTATTTTAAGAAAAGTGAATCGGTTGATGTTCTTCTTGCATTATATCTGAAATACTGAGTGAGTAGGAAACCTTACTTTTCAAATGAGTGCTTCCGAGTTTGTTTTGGTGCAGTTTTGGCAGACCTCAGGCCAAATTGGCGTTTGTGGGCAGGCAGGAGGGTGGGCCAGCCGCAGCCCTCGCAGCCGCCTCTGGCCGTGGTTGCTGGAGAGTGGAGGCTGCTCCTGGCCACTTTGAAGGGGGCCATGGAAACTCTAGTGGATCCCTGGCATGCCACCATTTCTAGAAAAACACGCTCCCCACAGAACCCAGCCCCAAAGGCTGCCCCAGTCCTGCTCCCTTTTTAATATTCTTTATGTGCCTGAGCTTGTGGGGTTTCCGTCAGCCCCCTTTATTCCGAGGGGGGTTCTGATAATATTCCCATAAAGGACAGTAATACTGATAGCATTTCCCTCAGTGTCTTCTGTGTGTTTCACAGGTGGGCATGGCATAAACCTCTATTTTCACTGTCTTTTCCCCAAAATCACTTGTGTTTCTCTGGCAATTTTTTTTTTACTAAGAGAGGTTTGAGTCATGCTGTGGCATGATTGCCTGTAGACTAATGTCCCTTTCTACCCCACCTCTCAAAATCCTGCAGGAACATTCAGTAGCCCCGAGATGCAGGGTCTCCTGCAGCAGATCTCAGAGAATCCTCAGCTGATGCAGAATGTGATTTCTGCTCCTTACATGCGTACGATGTTGCAAACACTTGCCCAGAACCCAGATGTTGCAGCTCAAGTGAGTACACCTATTTTCAAACTTGGCTGGGACAAGAGGGACTAAGAGGTCTCCTTTGCTAGAACACTGGACCTAGTGGGATGCTCTCATTCTCGGACACAGTTATCCCTGAGTTTCTATACACTTGCAGTGCAGCTTTGCAGAGTTGCTTGCTTAAGGTAAATACAGGTAGTCCTCATTTAGCGACTGTCGCAGTTATGACGGTGATGAAAAAGTAACTTTGCGACCAATCCCCGCATTGACAGCCTTCGCAGGTCTGTAAAGCAAAGGAGAGCTGAAGTAAGATCTTAAGCACGGTTGGTTTCACTTAGCGACCGCTTCACTTAATGACCAAGGTGCTGGTCCCAGTTGTGGTCGCTAAACGAGGACTACCTGTAATAATAAATAGATTATTAGTTATGAAATGTGAAGCTGCCATGAAACTGGGGAGACGGTCTCAAGTATCCTTGGCCTCTGTGGCCTCAAGCGTGGCAAGTTCTTGCTTAGGTAGTTTGGGGAAGGGGTTGGATGTTTGCTAGGACGGGTATTCCCCTACTAAAGAGGGCTCTTCTGTTCCCTTGCAGATGATGGTAAATGCCCCGCTCTTTGCTGGCAACCCTCCGCTTCAGGAGCAACTGCGCCTTCAGCTACCAGCCTTCCTACAGCAGGTAGAGCATCCTGAGTACATGTGGGGTCAAAGTTGGCGGGGGCTGGAGATTTGGAGTTTGGAGTAGAGGCTGAGAGTCATAGCCCCCTGGATATCAATCACCTGCTGTGGCTCTAGGTCACAGCACTGGACCCATAAGAAGATCTAGCCTTGGGAAGACCAATGGTTCACTTGTGGCTCTTTTTTTGGGCACCCCAGATGCAGAACCCTGACTCGCTCTCGATCCTGACAAATCCTCGTGCCATGCAGGCTTTGCTCCAGATCCAGCAAGGGCTCCAGACGCTGCAAACGGAGGCCCCGGGCCTCATGCCCAGGTATGAGGAAGCAGAAGTGGGCTTTGGGGGCACGGCTGTGGGATTCAGCCCCGGAGAGGCAGCGTCGAAGCAGGCCTCTTTCCCTCGGCCCCAGTTTCCTGCCTTGCTTCTTCCTTAAGCAAATGCATTCTTCCCTTGCAGTCTTGGGTCTCTTGGAACCCCCCAGCCCCCCGCACCTTCTGCCGGAGGAAGTACAATCCCAGAGCCCCCTATATCCAGTAGCTTGACCCCTGCCAGTGCCTCACCAACTGGGGACAGTAACCCCTCCCAGCAGCTCATGCAGCACATGATCCAGCTCCTGGCCAGTGCAAACTCTCAGGTGGGTGATGGTGATGGCACCTCGTGTCCCACCTGCATTTATCCTCTTCTGACTGCTGCAGTCCTCCTCCTCCAGGTGGCCCCCTCTCTCTGCCCGTCCTCTTCAAGATGGCCGGTGCAGCTTCTTTCCTCCCACTTAAAGCTTTGAATGAGAGTCAACCGGGGCTTTCTGCCTTTTAGCACTTGCGCTGGTTCCTTGGAATGGCCTCCGTCCAGCGGGCATTTGGGCCTTGACCCCATCTTGGTCTGGTTAGTTTGGTTTGGTGTTTATGTTTTTCATTAGTTTGTGGGCTTTTTATTTGTATATTTATTTATCTTACCTGTAAACTGCCAGAGTCCTTAGTGGATTGGTGGTCTGTAAAGGTAATAAATAATAAAAGCTTGGGCTGCTGGAGGATGACGCCACTTGGATAGTGGTTGAGAGTGTTGGCAGACCACTGCCAAGTAGCTCATGAGGGTTCTGTTTTCCCTGGCAGGCGCAGAGCCCGGAAGTCCGGTTCCAGCAACAGCTGGAGCAGCTCAGCGCCATGGGCTTCATCAACCGCGAGGCCAACCTCCAGGCCCTCATCGCCACGGGAGGAGACATCAACGCTGCCATTGAAAGACTGTTGGGCTTCCAGCCCTCCTAACACCATGCAAGGCTTCGCTGCTCTGCTCCAGGCTGTTGGCACGCAGGGACCTTTCCGGGAGTGTGCTGTTTTCATACCCGACACCGGTAGCTGCCCATCCCTGTAAAGACTGGAACGAAAACCCCTCGAGTTCAGCACGGCCAGTTCGGTCTCGCACCGAATGCTTTAGACGCCGCATTGTGCATGGATTCCAGTTCCCACGACCGTTTCGGACCTGTCTTTCTCTCCCTTTCCTTATTCCTCCCCCCCACTTTGTTCTCAGAATTAGGCTCCTCCTTCTCGTTCGTAGAAGTGTAACTTCTAGGTAACCCAGATGATTGTGTTCAATTAGTTTGCCCTTTGCATAGTTTTTTTTCTTTCCCTGCTCCATCCTCCTTCCCACCAGAAGCCAAGCCACGAGGAAATGCCAGCTGTGGTTTTTCTGTCCGAAGATGGGTCTCATGGAAGAGATAAAGATGGGACAATATTGTGAAATGCTAGTAAAAATAACAGAAAGCTCCTCTGTCCCTTTTGCAATGGCGCCTGTCTCCCAGTAGCAGATTCCAGCTGCTGTGTCTAAAGGTGGGGAACGCTGGCCTGCTCTTGCCAAGATGTGGCCCTGGGGCTCTGCTTCCACCACGGCACGGTGGGGGAGGCCTGCTGCTGGAAAGGAATGTTTCCTCCCCCACCACAAAGGGGTGTTTTGAGGCCTCAGTTGCCCGTGGCCCCCTGTGGCGTAACGTTCTTATGTGCCTGACGAGGCGGTTGGTGTTCCTTTTTCTCTCCCATCCAGCGTACGGCTTCTCCCCTCCAAAGTCCTTAGGGGCTGTTTTGGAGGTCCAAGGATGAGGAATGGAGGACCACTTTTTGGGGCCCCTTTCCTGTTTGGCTCAAGGTGCAGTTCGTATTCCTCTGTCCTTCCTGGGAGGGGTTGCAGCAGGGGAGGCATGGAATTCCAGCACAGAACTCTGCAAAGGTTGCAGTGAAACAGCCCATGTTGGACTGTCTCTTCTTCCAGAGTCACTGGGGCAGGCACGTTCTGTTAATGGCTCCTTTGTTGTGCCAGCTGTGAAGAAACCCTTCCTGTCTTTCGACCTCAGGGTTCTGGTATTCTGGGAGAGGGTGCTGGCTTTGGTTTGATACTCAACGTCATCTGGCCTTTGGAGAACTGTCTTTTTTGCCTGGCCAAAGCCGGAAGCTAAGAGCCAATCTGGGGCAAGCTCCGAGCACCTTGGTTTCTGGTTCACTCCAGAAAGAGAGGAGTGTAATCTTCAGCCCACGTATCAAGACTGAGTGCCATGCCCTTCTCCTGATCAAATGTTGTTGTTCAGTCATTAAGTCATGTCTGACTCTTCGTGACCCCATGAACCATATTGCGC